TATGTTATATCGTGCTCGCTCAATTCAATGGCCCATTTGGCCAACCTACCCGATAGCTCGGGTTTGTGCAGGATGCTCCTGAGGGGAAAAGTCGTCACCACCTTTATGGGGTGACACTGAAAATATGGTCTGAGCTTACGTGAAGCTACGACCAATGCCAGAGCTAACTTTTTGAGGTGGGATACCTCGTTTCGGCGTCGACCAAAGTTTTGGTGATATAGTAAATCGGAGATTGCGTACCTTTGTTTTCACGGACCAAAACTGCGCTCACCGCGACTTCAAGACGGCTAGGTAGACAAGGAGGCATTCGCTTGGATCTGCCTTGGCGAGTAACAGTGGTGAGGACAAGTAGGTTTTCAGTTTTCTCAGGGCGTCGACACACTCCGAATTCCATTGGAGCCCGTTATCTTTCTTCAGCACACTGAAAAATTTATGACACCTGTCTGACGACCGTGAGATGAACCTCGACATGGCAGCTATCCGACCTGTCAGCTTTTGTAGCTATTTTTTGCTGGTTAACATTTCCGGTATTCCCTCGATGGCCTTAATCTGATCTGGGTTGACCTCGATGCCTCTTTGCGATACCAGGAAACCGAGGAATTTGCCCGAGGTTACGCCGAAGGCGCATTTTTTGGGGTTTTGTTTCATGTCGTACTGCCTTAATATATCGAAGGCTTCCTTCAGATGATCGATATGATCTTCTTTCCTTTTCGACTTAACCAGCATGTCGTCGATGTAGACTTCCATTGTTTTGCCGAGTTGGTCTTTGAACATCTTAGTGACCAATCTATGGTACGTCGCCCCTGCATTCTTTAGTCCGAACGGCATGACCTTATAGCAGTACGTTCCTTGGTGAGTGATGAAAGTGGTTTTCTCCTAGTCTTCTTCCTCCATGAGGATCTGGTTGTACCCCGAGTAGGCATCTAAGAAGCTTAGCAACTCGTGTCCTACTGTTGCGTCGATGAGATGGTCGACGTGTGGCACTAGAAAGGATTCTTTTGGGCATGCCTTGTTTAGGTCTGTGAAATCCACACACATCCGCCACTTTCCATTTTTCTTCTTTACCATGACCACATTGGCGACCCACTGGGGATATTTTAACTCTCGGATGGAGCCATTTGCGAGCAACTTATCGACTTCTTTGCTGAGGGCTTCGTTGATTGCGGCGTTGAACTTCCTCCTTATTTTCCATACTAGCGGGTAGAGGGGGTCAACATTCAGTTTGTGCGTGGCGATGTCTTTCGGGATACCTGGCATATCTGCATGGGAGAAGCAAACAAATCGGCATTGTCAGTTAAGAATTTACGAAACTTACCTGGATCCGAGAGGTTGTGCCCGATATAAGCCTTTTTTGTGCTGTCATTGCCGTCTAGTAGGATGGGATGGAGATCCTCTTTCGTCGACTCAGATTCTTCCACGATGTCGGGATCCTTGATAACGTCTGTCCGTACTTCAAGTTTGGTTCCCGACATCGCTGATTATTATGCTTCTACACTTGCCCCTTTTAGTTGTTGGGTGTGCGCGCAATCCTGGGCGATGCGATAGCATTCCTGTGCGGTGCGTTGTTCTCCCCGGATGCTGAATACCCCCCATGGAGTAGGAAACTTGATTACTTGATAGAGACTGGACGGGACTGCTCGCATGGCGTGTATCCACAGGCGCCCTATGATAGCGTTGTAGGCTGTATCTTGGTCCATGACGTGAAACGTCGTTTCCAGGGTGACTCCTCCAGCTAGGATGGGTAGCACTATCTCTCCAGAAGTCCGCTCGACTGCATTATTAAAACCCGTTAGTGTTATGCAACGCGGTATTATTTTATCTTCGAGTCTCATCTGTACGAGGACTCGAGGATGGATAATACACGCGCCGCTCCCGTCATCTACTATTATTCTTTTTACATCAGTATCTGCAATACGTAAAGTGATAACAAGAGCATCGTAGCAAGGGAAAGACAAACCATCGGTATCCGACTTATCGAAGACGATACTATCTTCGAGGTCATCATACCGTTCTTGAGTGATCGACCGTTTGAGTTTATGTGGTGGTGAACTTTACATGATTGATTGCTGTGTCATCGCCCCCGCCGATGATCATTTGTATAGTGCGAGCGGGAGAAGGCGATTTTGGAGGTCCCTGGGGTTGTTCGCATCCGCGGGCAAAGTTAGCCCGTCCTCGATCGCTCAGTAATTCTTTCAGGTGTACCTGATTTAGCATTTTCACTACATCCTGCCGCAGTCCTATCTTTGGTTTTCTGACCCCTTTCCTGGTGGAATTCGCAGAGAGCGTTCGACTTCCTAGTGCTTGGGTCGGACTTCATCTTTTGCGGCCATTGTACCTTTGTACCGAGTTTCTCTAGTGCGTACACTATTTCTAAAGGAGAGGCACAAAAATTGTGAGCAGATAGGAGCGGAGGCATACCTTTCTCATGTCGATGCGGCGCTGCATGTCGAGAAGGAGCATCCGTGTGCCGCGGAGAAGGCGGGATAGATGTCCTGACGTAGGGCTGATGCCTTTTTCGGCCGAGAAGGGGCCTCGACTGATCTCTTCGACCATCATTGCGACGATCTTTCCTTGCTTCAGCTTGAACTGATGTCAACCGTTGGATCGGACCATTGAGGTCGTCCTCGTCGGCTCTTACCTCGGCACAGTAGGCGTTATGGATTTCTTCCCAAGCGGTTGGAGGGTATTTCATGAGCCTGCTTAACAGTTTTCTAGTCGCTCTCGACCCGTTCCTGTTTAGTCCGTTCTGGAAGGCTGCTACCGCCATTCCCTCTGACACATTTGGCAAGCTCATTTTCACCCTGTTGAACCGAGCTAAGAAGTCCCTGAGTCCCTCGCCGTGCATCTGCCTAACGGCAAATATATCGTTTACACTGGCTTCTGCCTTTTTGGCTCCTGCATGGGCGGTGACAAACTTGTCTGCCATTTCTTCAAACGTGCCGGTAGTTGGGAGTACCAGGTCAAGGCTCCCCTTGCTAGGGTTTCACCGAACTTTTTCAGTAGCACCGATGGTACCTGTTCTTTTGAAATATCGTTACCTTTTACGGCTGCGACGTAGTGGATGATATGATCCTCTAGATCGGTAGTATCGTCATATATCTTCAGGTATGGTGGCATTTTGAAGGTCTTTGGAATGGCGTAGGAGGTCGCTTCTTCATTGTATGGTTGCTCGATGAATCGACCAACGTCCCATTTTGGCAACAACTTTGGGGCGCTTGGTATTTTGTCAACCCTCTCTTGGTGTTCCTTCGTCTGGTCACGGAGCGCCTTATTCTCATTTTCCATCTCCTCCATTTTGCTTAAAACGGCTGCAAGCGCTTCATTACCTGCGTCAAAAGCAATATGAGTGTTACCCGTATGGGGGACATCTCGCTCATCAGCGATCGTCGTGACATCTACATGTGCAATATCTCTGTTATCCTTTTGGGCGGGTTTATCGAGTATGTTGTTCAGAGTACTTGTTAGCCATTCTTCCAGTAGTCTTCTCACTGCCGGTGGTGCCTCTCCTGTTGTAGATGTGGAGGCTTCCTTCTCGCGCGAAGCAGTTACGCTTTCGTGCGGGGGAGGTGAGGCGTTTCCCCAGGGTGTGGTGTTTGGTGTCCCGTTTTCGTTGTCTTCCCTGCTATCTTCGTTGATGGTGTTCAGGATGTTGGTTGTGACACCTACTATTGCTTTTAGCCTTGCATCTCCTTTCCCTGCCATTGTTAGTTTGTGCAAAGCTAGGAAGAGGTGACTATCCCTTTCTATGATCTAGATGAAACTGCAATCTAAACTGAATAAATTCCCACGGACGGCACCAAATTGTTTGACCAAAAGATGTCAAAACCTTTTTTGATTAAAACAATTGATAATGATGATGAGGTCAATCTTAGTCTAGCACAATAAAACCTAGATCAAATGATGAAAGGAGTAAGCAAGATGAATGATATAATGATCGAATAAATGCTCATAAATGTGAAGACTTAAATGTAGGAATCAATCGTAATGAATGCGATTAACCTAGATAAAAGATGATGTTTAGATGATGGTAGAATCCTTCTTAATATCGGACAGAGATGCTAAACTTCAGATCTGTAATCAATGAATAGGGTTATCTTTTGTATTCACTTTTCGATCCCCTTTTTACAAAGTGTTCCCCCCTATTTATAAGGGACAAACCCCTTTTAAACCCTAAAAAGGTACAACATAAAGAATATTCGAAAAGTATATTCCTACTGTCTCCCACTATGCTTACACTACTGCAGACGTCGTGCATTCGCTAACCACTTTTGGTCGCTGCCTTTTATAACGACCATGGGACGCTACACCATGACGACCCCGTTCCTTGTCGTACTCAGTAATAGTCGTGGTCGTCAAATTTGGACCTATACATATATGATCTCCATAGTAAATAATCTAAAACATTATGAAACTATTTTAGTAGTGATTTTCATAATCAATATATCGTATAGTTCCTCTTGAATAACCATTATATATATATATATATATATATATATATATATATATATAGAGAGAGAGAGAGAGATAGATATATATATCTTTAAATGATTTAGACATTCCATAACTATTTTACACGTGGATAATTTTCTTTTATCTCTTGAAAACACATCTCTTAATCAAAAATTTACTCTACTCTCTATTTATATATAGAAATCGTCTCCCCACATAACAAGTTGGAGCCAATTAAAAATCCTACGAGTTGATCAATTATATATTTGGACTAGTCGTCCATTGCCCAATCTTATAGCTATTATTAAATGCACAAAATTGAAAATTCTCTAACTAACTTGAAAAGAAAGCTACAAATAATTTTCTTCACTCGTTTTCTTACAATTAAATAGTGAGTGGCGGCTAATATTTGGCCTTGTCTCCCTATTTTCTCCATAATAATTACTTTGATAATGATGTTACTCTCAATAGCCTCTAATCAAGGAGCTATATTTTCCGCTTCTACATTCTATAAATACCAACCTAAAATGACCATCTAAAAATATACAGTAGCAACTTTAATTTCTTGAGTAATCTTGAAAAAAAAACTTAAGAAGTTGTCAATCATGTCTTTTTTAAGATTTGTTGGTACAATTCTTTTCTTGCTTGCAATTTTTGGAGCATCAAATGCTCAATTAAGTGCAACATTTTATGATACCACTTGCCCTAATGTTACAAGTATTGTACGTGGTGTTATGGATCAAAGGCAACGTACTGATGCTCGAGCTGGTGCTAAAATTATTCGTCTTCATTTCCATGATTGTTTTGTTAATTGAATAACCCGACCCTTGAATTATTTCGACCTATATTTTCATGCACGTTAATGTGTCTTAGCATTATATCACGTTACAGACATAAGTTATATATATCGACGGTGTAAAGATATTTTATCATATCAGTACAATTTAACATGTGCATGATTGTAAATTAGTTACTATTTTTACTCTTATTGTAGTTATATATAGTGACGATGTAAAGATCTTTTATCATGTCAGTGCAGTTTAACATGTGCATGATTGTAGGTCAGTTACCATTTTTACTGTTCTAGTGGCGAGTATAATTTACTATGATAGTAAGTCAAGTTCACTTACTTTAATGTGATAAAAATTAAGTTAACGAGTCAGAATAATTCTTTGACTTTACTACTATAATGGATAAAGTTCAGTTATGTGGTTAATTTTGTGACTTTATTGTTATAATGCGAAGAAAAAGTTCAGTGACCAAACGTGAAATTAACCGTGTATATATATTTGCACAGGGTTGTGATGGATCAATTTTGTTAGACACAGATGGGACTCAAACTGAGAAAGATGCAATTCCTAATGTAGGTGCAGGAGGATTTGATATTGTTGATGATATTAAAACTGCATTAGAGAATGTATGTCCTGGTGCTGAAATATCGC